ATCAGGTCTTCGCTGTTTGTGTCTGCTGTCGAAACGCGGGCCCATCTGGGCAGTTTCTTGATGGTTCCAGCGAGGGGCGAAGGGGATCGTTTCGAAGGCCCTGGCCATGCTTTGGTCATACACAGCAGAACACCTTGGGCAAACCAAGCACTTAGTTGCCCCTTTGTAGCAGCGAAAAACAAACTCCAACAAACTCTCTCCAGCCTTGGGATAGCACCTAAAAAGTTGGTTATCCTGGCGCCAATTGTTGCCAGTTCGAGCCCTCTGTACCCTTTCGAAATTTGCAGCAATTCTTTGGTTGCAGAGGATGCTGCGCCTAGGGCACAATATCATGCCTGGATCTCCTTTGTGGCATGTCATGAGATAGTCTTTGAGAGTAGCATCTCCAGTGTGATTATCCCCCATTCTGTGCTTTTCTTTTTTTAAGTATTTTTCCACTTCCTCCATCTCAGAACGGGGTCTTTCCATATCCACCATATTTATTTCCACATCCCCCTCTTTAGTTTCGTCATCGCCCCATCCTGTGGGCTTTATATCTTCGACCTGGACCTTCGAACTTTCTGGGGCAGAATATTTGACCAGATAGTCAAATTTTCCACTGGGTTCTCCTAGAGTGTCCCATATTTCCTTCTGAAGGGGAACTGGCTGCGTAATTTGGACTTTCTCCAATTCCAGCCTCAAGCCCTCAGTGACTTGTGTCAATCCTTCGTTTTGATTCCCTTGGCCTTCAGTAGCCTGGGTTTCTCCTGCAACAGCCACAGGTGCAGCAATCGAAGTGTCTGGCGTATTCTGGATGTCTTCAGTGACTTCCTCGCTGACTTCGACCATCACCCAATTTTCGATTCCAGTGTCCTTCTCTCCTGTTAGGGCGTCGCTTCGATCAGTTTCCACCATGTTGACCTCTCAAATGCATGCAGGCTCGGAGTAGTTGGTGTCTGCGACGTCCAAAGGATCTTCGTCCACTTTCATCTTCACCTTATCAGCAAACTTTAGTCTGCCATCTTTGATCGCGTTTTGAATCAAGTCCCTGAAAAGAAAACATTGTGAGGTCTTGTGGCCTAGGAAACTATGATATTTGCAAAATCCCCTTTTCTTCCTCTGATCCAAGGGAGGTATTTTGACATTTGATTGCACAATTAGTTGGCCATCCTTGACAAGCAAGTCAAAAATTTCGTCACACTTAGTGACGTCGAAGGTATAAACCTTCTTTGGAAACTTGTCACTTTTCTCATTTTCAACAATATCTTTCCCTTTCGTGGGAACTAACATTTTGCAGGAGTAAGGCGGGGCCTGTTTTAATTCAGCGAGGTTGATTTCGACCTCTTCGAATTCGAATTCAGGATATTCTTCTACTTCCTCAGTCCCAACATAGGAAATCCTTTCTTTCTTACTATTCTTAAAGACTCTGGCTTTTTCGGCTTTTAGTCTTTCGACCTGTCGAACCCTATCGGCTAATTGAGCCATATCCCTCAAATACTGAGTATCTAATTTCTTTCGAATAGAATAATCCAAACCCCCAGCGGCCATTTCGACTAACTCATGTTCAGGCACTACTGTGTAACATCTGGATTTTAACAGCCTAAATCTATTCAAATAATCATCTATGGGTTCAGTGAACTTTCTCTTAACACTGGCTAATTCCTTCAAACTTATTTTCGATTGTCCCATGTAAAATTGTTCATGGAATAATCTCTCTAAAAGGGTCCAAGTGTCAATAGACCCAGGGGGCAACGTGGTAAACCAAGTGAAGGCGTTTTTTGTCAAGGAACTTGGGAAGTATTTGATCCTGAGATCTTCATTATTGGCTATATCTCCCGCTTCGGTTAGATATCTCGCTATGTGTTCGACTGTTGACTCGTTGGTATCCCCAGCGAACTTTGTAAATTTAGGGACTTTGTATCCCCTTGGTAAATCAGTATGCATTATACAATCCAATATAGGAGAAGCGTAATTTGGCCTCCTCATTCCCGTATTGAGACCATTCTGGGCCATGATCCTCTCTATCATGGTGGTTAGGTTATTTTCTGCCAAGATGTTATCGTTTCGAATCCTATGAACGACGGCATCGGCATCTTGATTTCGACCAACCAAAACAACTCCCCTAGGTTGTTCTTCTCGAAATTCTGGGGCTTCTGGCCTTTCGATCCTTGCCCCTGGTTCCATAACTTCCCTTTGTGGGCCCGGAATTATTGGGGCTTCTAACCTTGGTGCTCTGGCCCCTAAGTTAGCTTCTTCTCTGGGTGGTCTATGAATTGGGTCGTTAGCAATTTGTTCTATAACAGGCATGTTTGTTCGAAATCCCGCCTGGTTCTGCCTACGCCTTTCTGTGGGAGCAAAGAAATCTGCTATTCGACTCATATTGTCAGCGTTTTCCCTGTTCGTCACAGTCACATTCTGAACTATTGGGGCAAATATTTCCTGCATGGTTTGCGCTAACACCCCTATCATATTGTGGTTGCTGTCATCCATCAATTGCCTAAAAGCCAACTGGTTATCTGTGGTTAGGATAGGCAACGTGCTATAACCCACTGACCCTTGGTTATTTGTCATAAATTGGTTCGCCCCAGACCCAGATCCTAGTTGTGGGGATGAATTCGATGTGGAATTGTGTAAACCTGCCATAAAAGATGTTGGCATTCCGTAAGAAGAACTTCTAATTCTATTCCCATCGAAGCCGGGTGGTCTAGTTAATGGTGTGGCGAAATGGGATTGTGTTCCTGGTGGTGGAACGAATCCCCCAGGGTAGCCCATAGTTCCAGTATTTCCTAAGATCGAACTGTTAGTTGATATGCCACTTACTCCATTGGTGGCTATGTTACTGGTTGAAGATGCAACAGACTGTGCATTCGAAGGGGTTACATTAGATGTTCCGCTCGAAATGGACGCGTTAGTGCCTGTTGCATGTGGGCCACCTTGGTCTCCTTGTTGATTGTCTGAATTAGACATTTTGTCCAAACGTTTTCTTCTGGATAAAGGTTGGTTGTTGTTGGTTATCTTACCACTTCTCAGGTTCATAAAACAGCAAACTTCTTAGGTTCCTACGTTTTTGGGATGGCTACGTCTCGACAATCCTTAATTCTGATATCCAACTATTGGTCCCACTAGGTGTGCCAATTTGTTTCCAGTGATTTCTGGTAAACAACCGCTAGTCTTCCAAACTATCGAATAATCTTTGTTAACGCTATTCAATCTCTCTGGTAACTCACAGGATCGACTAGATTGATCCTAGGACTCCTTGGATATTAAGGTTACTCTCACAATCGAACAATTATTCATGGTCGCTATTGTACAAGTGTTTGGTTTATTTCGATCCCTCTCTCTAAGAGTTTAAAAATGTGGTCAAAATGTATATGAAAACTAAGTTATACGAATAAATGCTAATTGTAATGCTGATTGAAGAGACATATAAAACTGTATGAAAAATGAAGTAAACGGTTTCAATTTACAAAACATTTAACATAAAAGGTTTCTGGAATGTAGAAGTTTAAAAATGTGAAGAAAGCGTTTAATGCAAGAAATCTATAAATGATTTTAAGTAAAAGTATGCGCTTGAAAAACAATACTTGAAAGTAAAGGTATTGAAAGTGTAACAGTTCTCTGAAATATAAAGTGCTCGAAATATAAAGAAAACAGTAAAACGTAAAACTTTGAGGAAAAGACTTTGAAATGAAAAGACAGTAAATAAGGAAACTTGCAAATGTTATTCGACAAAAAGAAAAGAGGAAAGTACTGGAAATGGTAAAAAGGCTTTCATTAAGTTAGAAATACATGGTGCTATCATACATACATTTCTCTTGCATTCGTTTCCCTTGCCATGTGGTAGTTTGAATGTTATTGAGTATTTTGTATAACAGATATGACACACTGAAATCCTAATACTAAGACTTCTATTTATACTAATTCGACCCTAACGGTCTCGCTATAGGATCATGCCACGTTTCGAACATGCAAGACAATGCTTCTTTCATCTTTCCACGTGTCCCCAAACGCTCCAACACATAACTTTCAAACTTTGAAAGTCCCGCTTCCATTTGAATTTTAAATGCTTTGGTGTTTCTCCGTTTCGAACGTTCTTCCCAAACCTAGCCTCGCTGTTGTTTCGAGACCCCTTTGGATATGTTCCCATAATCACCGTTCGAAGCTTCAAGCTCTGACACACTTATTCGAAACACCGCTTCTGCAACTTCGAAATATGGCGTTTAATTCCATTTCGATCAGAACTTTTAACTCTTTTGAATTCTAAATAACATTATCAAAATCTTCAGCCAACAGGTACAGTCAACTTGTTTGTGATGGTATTGATGAGAAGGGTGTGGCACTAAGGGAAAGTTTGTCTCAGTACTTGAATGGAAGGCTGCATCCATAATTTTCTTTCTCCTTCTGTTACTAGCATTTGGTATAGCTCGAAAATTTTCATTTAGTGGGAATTTAATCATTGCACATTATGATATAGTTGCTCCTTTTTGTTTTGTAGACTGTAAATCATTTGGATGATGCATATGTACATTTTTACCAAATTACATGAGTGAACTATCAGACTTTTCTATACATACTTGTCAAACTGCATCCTGTGTTTTGGTCCTTTTGGACATTAAACATGACACCATGAGAAATAGTCATATTGACACCAACCACAACAGAAGACATGGGATGGTTCATTAAATCTCTGTACAAAAACGAAGCAAAATGAACACATGTCTGAGTTTTAAGACTGAAGTTTGATGATAATATTGAAACTTCAACACTTCACCAGTTACAAGGGTTCTTGAAGGTGACACACAAATAAAATAGTGTTCCTAGAACCAGTGTGACACAAAATATATGCTACAACCTAAGCTACGTGGTAACAACACATAGTCACCCAATATGTCCTGTTATCTCCATTGTTAATCCTGCAAAGTTGGATGAAATCATGTAAAAAGTGATATCAGCGCTTTACAAGGCATCAAATTACATGAAAACAGCTATAACTTGGTTCAAGCTTACCTCAACTATTGAGTCTAGTATCCATTAGTAACCTCTTCATTGATAGATATTGAAAATTCTTCGGACCATTTCGTCTTTTCATTTTCAGATGCTGGTACAGTAGAACCATTAAGGAAAGGGTTCCAGAATCCACCAGGACTGGACAAAACCCATCTTACTTTTATTGGTGGTCTTGTTATGTCATCTTTCCCCGTTTTGATTTTCTTCCAATAATGAGTTCTTTCGAAATTCTTGAAAAGAAATTCAATTAGTTATTCTGAATGTAAGATCAGTTCTTGTACTAAAGACTATAGTTTTGAAACTTATTGTGTATTGATACTTGATACCACCACATTATTAAAAGTTTAAAGACAAGACTATACACTAACCGTGTAAAATGTTTCCACACAAACGTACAACTATATCTGTCACTTACATATTTATGAATCAATATAACAAAGTGAGATCATTATTAATTGTTGGATTTAGAGTAAGTTGTTGGTTTAGGCACCTTGGGTGTAGCTCTAAATGCATTTTCTCCGATTGAATATCCCTCATAATCTCTTGCAGGACGAAACTTTTGTTTAGTCCTAGACTTGATGCCAGTCTGCAGCATATATAGCACAGATCAAGTCAATGAAAGCCTACAAAAGAGAACTCACTTCTAAAGCCTAGCTGATAAGAAATCTAGCTTATAGCATAAATTGGAATCCAGTTTTTCAGTTTTAGTCGAACAATGAATCAAATTAACAGAATCACATACATCAATTTTTATTGCCTTTTATTATTTACTTTTTCAGTGACTCTCATTATTTCATATATCAAGAACAAATGTGATTTCCATCATTACATTAAAGCAAAAACAGTACTAGAACTTCATCATGCAGCAAAACAATCTATATTTGGCTTACTGTCGGGAAACAGCTGAATGATTAATGATTAAGAAAAACATTTATGCTTCCTACAATCTTATAAACCAAATTTATCCAAAAAAAACATTTGCAAAATGATCTGTTTGAGTATCTAGACGTATTTCATTATCTTTTCAAACATCGTGATAGATGTCCCATGTTCCCCCTGCCACTAACTAAAGAGACGTCTTAGAAACTGGTGTAAACATGAAATTAGAACTTACAGTGTTTTTGTTTTCTAATATCATTCTTTCAGTAGGAAGATAGTCTCTTGTTTCTTCATTTAGATATCTCTTAACAGATATCAAAGAACGGAACTTCTGTCCAGTGTGTGGCTCTATGTAATACTGGAAAAAATTTATTAAAAAAAACAAAAATTAAATCAATGAAGGAAGCGAAGAATTTCCAAATGGTTTTAGAAATTACTTGTGGAGTTTCAAAAATTGACTTCAACAATAATCAGTTTTTCTTTAATAGTTTGTATATTTACAAACGCTAAGTGTTGAACTCAAAATGAATCAATAAAAAGGGTCTGAAAACACAATCATACCCTGTAATCCCTACACAATTTCCACACTGTATGTACCAAACAAACACGAACTATATATATGTGCATAAAATGCAGTGAAAAGATGCATGCATGCATGAAAATTGAAATTAAGTGAAAGAGAAAAGAAGGTTACCCTGTCAATGTGGTTGGGGTTAGAGATACGGCGAACTTGGTTAACCACCCAATCATCTGGAAGCTTGCCACTATTTGGCTTATTGTCGAGAAATAGCTGAATGATTAAGAAAAACTTTTATGCTTCCTACAATCTTATAAAACAAATTTATCCAAAAAATTACAAAATGGTCTGTTTGAGTATCTAGACGTATTTCATTATCTTTTCAAACATCAGGATCGATGGCACTATGTTCCTCCTGTCACCGACTAAAGAGACATACTAGAAACTGATGTAAACATGAAATTAGAACTTACAGTGTTTTTGTTTTCTGTTATCATTCTTTCAGTAGGAAGATAGTCTCTTGTTTCTCCGTCTAAATATCTCCGAACAGATATCAAAGAACGGAACTTCTGTCCAGAGCCTGGCTCTATGTAATACTGAAAGAAAAAAATTAAATCAATGCAGGAAGGGAAGAATTTCCAAATGGTTTTAGAAATTACTTGTGGAGTTTCAAAAATTGAGACGAGAACAACCCAATGATGAGCGAAAAACTAATAACAGAAAATCCAAGCCTAAATGTACTAACTATAGATATAAAGCATAGCAAGCTATTAAAACTTCCTTTCCTAACTTTTGTGTTTATTATAAGTGTTAAGAGATGTGGTTGGACCTAACTCAAACCTATAAAATCAGCTTGTAGGGTGAGGATTGCCCCCACTTATAAGGACATGTTCAGGCCATATATTGTCCGATGTGAGACTCTTAACAATAAACAATGTTGTTTAGCTATATAGGCTGAATTTAAATTGATTCTAGTTCACATTGATTTATCTTATTCATGTGGTTCTCTCGATTTTTCAAATGAAGCACTAACCCCTTAATAGAAATACATAGATTCATCTCGTCAACTATGAAGGACGAAGGACAAAGACACCAGAAACACAACACAACACCGACACTAACATGTCGACAACGATAATAATTTTAAAAAATAGATAAATTAAACATAACTATATCTGTCGGTGTGAGTTTCAAACACGGACATGAAAAAACTAAACTTTTCTGAGGTGTCCGTGACAGAGTATTGGAAGCATTTGAAACTTCAACATGAATCAGTTTTTCTGTAATAATTTGCATATTTACAAACCCTAAGTGTTGAATTCAAAATGAATTAATAGAAAGGGTTTGAAAGCACAATCAAACCCAGCAATCCCTACACAATTGTTACACTATAGATATACCAAACAAACAGAAACTATATATGAGCATAAAATGCGGTGAAAAGATGCATGAATGCATGAAAAATGAAGTAAAGTGGAAGAGAAATGAAGGTTACCTTGTCAATGTGGTCGGGGTTAGAGATACGGCGTCTTTGCTGAACCAGCCAATCATCGGGAAGGTTGAACCGTGACGGGGTTATCATCTTCAATTGTTTTCCTCTTGAAGTGGTTGTATTGTGATTGAGATGTTGAATTTCATCATCAATGGCTGTTTTAGATGCTATCGTCAATGACATGCTGTTACTTGGGACTCACTCAGAGACTAACAGTCAAAGTAAAGCGAAAGTCTGTATTTATTAATGGTGACATTTTAATACTCCCTTCCTTCTCAAAATAAATGTAACATTTCAAAAAACAATTGTCTCAAAATATTTATAACAATTTTATATTTAATTTTTTAATTGTATTTTTTAATAAATATTTTTAATTTATTGTTTTTCGCTTAAAATTAATTTAAATACACTAATAATTAATAAATATAATTTAATAAAATTATTTTCTCTTTCATTTATTTTTAATCTCTATAAAATGTCAAATATAACAAATAATATGAGATAGAAGGAGAAACTTTTATAAATTTAATGATATACATAAACGGTGTAAACAAATATTACAATGACAGTAAATTATGGCAGTTAGATTTTAAATGAAAATTGACTTTAATTTTAATCAAATATAAAATAGCGTTAATAGTTATTTTGTTTTTTGAGCGAGTTATAAAAAACTCAAATTACTCATTTCTATGGTGTGTTTGTGTAAGATTATTATAATAGTTTATATATTTAATATCTTCTTTTTTTCACTTTTTATTTTCCACATCATTTTCTCTTTCTTTCATCTAATAATTTAATACTTATTCAATTTTTATTCACTACAACCGTTTTTATTTAATAAAATTCAACACCCTATCCCATCATTTTTATTTCATATTTTTATTTTCTTTTATATTTTTGTTTTTATGATTATATATTAATATAAATTGTCAATTGAAATTAAATTAAAATAATTAAGAGTTAAATAATTATTTTATTTTATTTTTAATTTAATAATTTATTTGAATTTTTTTTTCTAATTTCATATTTTCTTAATTGATTTTGAAATATATAATTGTTGGGATTTTGATAGTTGAAAGAGTAATTAGTAAAATTTTAGATGTTAAAAAAATTATTGTTGGAATTCATTTCACAAAGATGTTTAGAGCTACAAACAAGAATTAATGGGAAGTTAAATAGAAAAGTTAGAGAGAGAGAGAGAGAAAAAAAGTGAATTTTTTTAAATGTCTAAATCTAAGAACCAATAAAAAGTGGATTTTTTTGATGAAAATAAAAATAAATAAAAAATGATTTATTATAAAATAATTAATTGTAAATAATTAAGATGAAATAAAATCTAAATAATCACAACAACAAATAAAATTTTATAAAGTAATATATGTCGTTCTCACTCCCTCTTCATTCAAAATCTTGAATGTTTTTAAAACTAATTAATCTACATCATTTTCAACACCTCATTCAACACTCCTTTGCAAATAATTCAATTTTTAAATAATTTTTTCAACACCCTCATTATACATAGTCTAATGTTAGAATCTAATATATATAAAATTGTAATGTTTTAACATTAATAATATTCAAATAGATTAATACAGTAGTTATAGTTAATACATAAAATTATAAAAACAATATATTTAATAAAACATTATTTTTATAAATTTATAAAAACTACAATATAATATTAATTTATATTCAAATACATTAATTTATAAGTACAATATTTTATAACATTACGATGCATAAATAAATTCTATTTTAATTGATAGTGTTTTTTAAATATTTTTATATACCGTATAATAAAAAAAATATTTTTATATAAATATATTAAAATTATTTATATTTTTAATTTATAAAATATATTTTATAAGTAATTATATATTAATTACAATTAATATATTAAAATTATTTCAATTAATTATATATTTTAAATAAATAGCATACTTTATATGTTTAATATTATTAATATATGATAAATTTATTTAATATTATTATTTCACTTACATATATGTTTAATATATTTATTTGTTTTAATCACATTTAAGGTATTACATAAAAGTGGTTGTGATGTAGTGATTGTGTAAAAAGTTTTACACTGACAATATATATCAATTAATCTTTTATTTAAATTATTTAATATATATTAAAATTATTATTTACTTACATATATGTTTAATATAAATATTTATTACTTTCTGTCAAAAAATATTTATTACTAAATATATTTTTTTATAGTTTTATGTATTATAATATTAATTTATAAATATATTATTTTTATAAATTAAAATAACTATTAATATAATAATTTATATAAATTGTTGTTTTTAAAAACAATAACGTTAAAACATTACAATTTTAACATTACACAAACCAAAGTTATTAAAGCATGCTTAACAATATATATATATATATATATATATATATATATATATATGGTTTTAATAATACACAAATCAAACTTAACAACATAGTGGAAATGAATAATTTTAAAATGTTAGGATGAAATTTAAATTTCTTTTATAAGATTTTTTAAAACTCGCGTATATAGCATATCAGAGCACAAAATAATTATTAATCTTATAAAATAATATATATAAATAATTGTGATGTGTTGATTAATGTGGTTTTTTTAATGCGATTTAATTGAATTTTACAGAATCTCATACATATACTTAATATACTTAGATTAATTAAAATATTTTAATATTTTATTAGATGCAGTTTATTATAGTTTTTAAAATAATTTTATAGTATTATATATTTTTATATAAATTTAAAGATTAATTAATATGTATTGTTAATGTAAAAAATTGTACGCAACAACCTTTTATAAGTAATACTTTAAATATGATTAAAAAAATTAAACAATTATAAAAAAATAACGCTTATAATTAATTGATGAGGTATAAATTCTATACACTATAATGCATGTTAATTAAATTATATTTTATTAAAATTTGTTTGAATAATTTAAAAAATAAAATATTTTATTATTTAATAACATTTTTTAATAATAAATTTACAAAAAAATACTTAAAATAAAAAATTAATTTAGATTATTTTTTTTTAAAAAAAAATTATTTAAATTACATAATCTTTATCATAGTAAAATTTCTTACTATCTATAATTAGGGATGATAAAATTGAACTCGTCCCATCGAACATGTATATTTTACAGTGATTTTTTCGAGCACGATCAAGATTTTAGATCCACATTTCTAATATGTTCGTCTTGTTTCATCTAATTTTTTATATATTTTTGCGGAAGCTGACATTAAAAAGAACTTTTATAAGTTTTAGATTTTAAGAGTGCAATGTTGCATGCTTGTCTTGTCCTACCTTCACTTTTTTGCAAGGCGATTTTAGGTTCGCACCATCAATTATGTCTGATCTTTCACCCTTCCGTCATATTTTTTTACGGGTCTAAATGGAACAGACATGTCTATTTTTCACCCTATCTATAATATTAGAAAGCAATGTGACGTGGAAATAACTCACCCTCCCCTTACTCATGGTCTAAAATGTGGCACATTTGAGTTCATATTAAGATACATTTATGGAAGAGAGTGAGTAGAAAATAGTAATATAAAATCAGATTTTTGTATTTAGAAGAGTGCACAAAGACTCATTTATATAGTAGAAAAAATTTAGTCAAGAAAGAAAATAATCCTTGGGTCATGGTCGTTTTATAATCAATTATCTTGCGGTACTAATCGATTAGACCTAACAAATTTGAAAACAAACTAGTCAGATTTGGAGCCTAATAGATTAAGAGTGTTTCTAATCGATAAAGTGGCGGATTCATCCCTTACTCAATTAGATACAAGTTTTAATCGATTAGAGAGCGAAATATTGATTTCCTAATTGATTAGGAGGCTTCTTAATCAATTAGTTAATGGTCAAATCTGATATTAAAAAAGGTTTTGAAATAGATGAAATTTTGTAAAATCATTTTGAGAATGTGTGAGCGTATTGAATTAGTACTTTAAGACAGACGAACTTTTAAAAGACTTCGATTATTGTTGATGTTGATCTTTATATTTGACTCTCTTTACTCTAACAAGGTTAAACATCTTCAATCTCATCATACATGTATTTTTCTCCTTCTTTCTTGATCTCGAACATCAATGTTACCTCGTCAACCACAACATTCCGACTTTTGTGCACGTTGGTTGATACTAATACTAATTCTTGTCGGCTGCAATGTAAAAACAGACACTCAAATTCATTGACAATTAGCTATTAAATAACACAATAAACTTGTCCATGAATTCAAGGAAGATGATGTTTAAATACCATTTTTATAGAGTCAGTGTCATCAAGCCTTTGTTTTATATCTCTTGTAATTGAGAAGAAAGCTTTTTCCACATTTCGACTTGTTTTTGCACTCTGCAATAGAAAATTCTTTAGTGTACAGTAATAACAACAAAGTTAAGGAAGTTTCCACATTTTCTAATTTACACCACTCACAGTTTCAAAGAATTTGATTCCATACTCATTGGCTAGTGCTTGGCCCTTGGAGGTAGGCACGACCTAGAGAGAAATATAAAATCAAATTTGACACACACACACATATATATATATATATATATATATATATATATATATATATAAAAAAAAAAAAGAGATGATTTAGGATTAATTAGTGTTACTAGTTTTGTATACATACATGATCATACTAGTATGAATTATTCATGTTACGTGAATATGAAACATAAAATTAGGGTTGGAAAAATGGGTCTGACTCGTCGGACATGTTTGTTTTCCCGTGTTTTTTTGCGGAACGGATTAATGTTTTAGGCTGACACTCTTTAACATGTGTCGCTCCATCCCGTTCTTTTGCAGACACACATTAATATGGATTTTTACAACTTTTAGACTTTAGGGAGCAAACCCTCATGCCCGCCCCACTCTCATTTTTTCACAGTGGTTAATATTTTAGACCCGAACCCTCAACTATGTCCATTCCACTCCATTTTTGTGCGAGTTTTTGGAGGACAGATATGTCCGTTTGCCACCCTAAAATGAAGTTACATAACACTCAAACACAAAAAAGTTCTTCAATGTTTACATACTCTTTTGTTGTCATCCATGTCAGCTTTGTTTCCAACCAATATTTTGTTGACATTGTCGGAAGCATGTTGCTCAATGCTACGCATCCAACTCCTAATATCTGAAATTACTCAATTAGTATAAACAACACAACTCTAGTTCAAACTTTTAAACCAAAGCACAAGATGGAAACTTAACTGTTAAATGAAGATTCATTTGTAACATCATAAACTAGTAATATGCCCATAGCACCACGATAATAAGCTGAAGTAGAAAAGGAAATCAAGTAAATATTTGACTCAAAATAAAGTATTTTATGAGGTCTTAAACATAAGCAGAAAATCTAATATCAGACTTTTTTTGCTTATATTTAAGATTGGAACGAGTACTTGACAAATACTCCCACTCAAAAAGAAATTTAAATCTTACCTCTTGTTATTGTTCGGAATCTCTCTTGACCTGCAGTATCCCAAATTTGGAGCTTGATCTGTTTTCCATGCATCTCTATGTTTCGATTTCTATAATCAATGCTGCATCAGGAAGAATGACTTGTGATTTAGAGCAACTCCTCTAACACTAGATTGTGCAACTCTACACCAAAATCATGAAAACTCACCCCATAGTTGGAAGGTAACTAGTACTGAAAGATCCTTCAGAGAATCGTACAAGAAGTGAACTCTTTCCAACACCTGCAATCAAAATTAATATACAAAAATCTTCACAAATTAAGGACTTTGTATACCAATTAAACAATCCTCTAAAAGGAACAACTTGATGGTAATTAAACAATTTATTTGATATTTCATAAATTTAGGGTCTTAATTTTCACACTAAATATCTGTATAAAAATGGTGGTTACTTGAGGAAATTCCCAATTCAAACCTTTTTGACAACATGATTGCATTTATACTCGAACAAAACACCCAACCACGTTTTCTTTGAAGACGTGCAAGACGGTTACAACACATGACTAAAAAAATTCAGAGTAGTAAAATAGGGCCTCATACAATCTTTGTCTCTATTAAATCAAATTGGAGATCTAATTGTTTTGTCGTTAAATTTACCCTCTAAAATCTTAAGACGACTCTGACACGGTGAAAAGATTCAAATCTAAATCCAAGTAAATTTGCCTCACCCTGAAAAATCAAGAGATAAGGGCTAGAGGAGTGAGTAACTTACCACTATCGCCGATCAAAAGAACCTTTAGGAGGTAATCGTAATCTTCACTTGGAAGAGCCATCAACACTTTCAATCGATGAATGAAATTGCAATAAATTAAATTGATTCCTATTATCAACGTAAAATAAAATATATGAATTTCAAGTAGAAAAATGAAATGCAAGAGATTGAGATGAAAATATACCGATGAGATCAGATGCAATAAGGTAATTGGAAACAAAAGGGGTTATGTAATAGTTCAACGAAAGAACTATAATTTTTTTTTGGAGGGAATGAATATCATTGTATGCATTTGGAACATAAGCAATTATGTCTTTAAATTAAAGTCAAAATATTTACACCCAATATATATACTATTTTTTGACTTAAAGTATTTTTTACATAATTAATTAATCAAACATAAAAAAAAAATTTTAATAAAAAAGATAGAGCACACACATGTAAGATCACACACATATCTTATATATTTAATATTATTAATATACGATAAATATATTTTATATTATTATTTTACTTACATATATGTTTAATATAAATATTTGTTTTAATCACATTTAAAATATTATATAAAAGTGGTTGTGATGTGGTGATTGTATAAAAAAATTTATATTGACAGTATATATCAATTAATGTCTTATTTATATTGTTTAATATATATTAAAATTATTATTCACTTACATATATGTTTAATATAAATATTATTACTTTCTTTCAAGAAAATATTTATTACTAAATATATTATTTTTATAGTTTTATATATTATAGTATTAATTTATAAATATATTATTTTTATAAATTAAAATAACTATTAATATAATAATTTATATAAATTGTTGTTTTTAAAAATAATAACGATAAAACATTACAATTTTAACATTATATAAACCAAAATTATTAAAGCATACTTAACCTTATATATTGGGTTCTAACAATAGTGGAAAAGAGTAACCCTAAAATGTTAGGATGAAATTTAAATTTTTTTTTATAGATTTTTTAAAATTCGCATATGATAGGAGACAAAATAACCATCAACCATATAAAATAATATATATAAATAATTGTGATATACTAATTATATAAAAAATTTAGACTGACAATATATAAGAAGTTTTAAATGTTAGCTGTCATTAATGTGGTTTTTTGATGCGATTTAATTGAATTTTACACAATACTATACATATACTTAATATATTTAATATACTTAAATTAATTAAACTATTTAACTATTTTATTAGATGCAGTTTATTATAGTTTTTAAAATAATTTTATATTATTATATTTTTTTATATAAATTTAGAGATTAATTAATATATATTGTTAATGTAAAAAATTGTACGCAACAATTTTTTATAAGTATTATTTTAAATATGATTAAAAAAAAGTTAAACAATTATAAAAATTTAACGGTTATAATTAATTGATAAGGTATAAATCCTTTACACTATAATGTATATTAATTAAATTATATTTTATTAAAATTCTTTTGAATACTTTAAAAAATAAAATATTTTATCATTTAATAACATTTTTTAAATAATAAATTTACAAAAAATACTTAAAATAAAAAATTAATTTATATTTTTTTTATAAAAATCCTTTTTTCTTTAAATTACATCATTTTTATCATGGTAAAATTTCTTATTATCTATAATTAGAGATAATAAAATTGGACTCGTCCCATATCGAACATGTATATTTTACAACGATTTTTTCGAGTGTGATCAAGATTTTAGACTCACATCTCTAATATGTTCGTCTCGTTCCATCTAATTTTTTACATATTTTTGTGAACGCTGACATTAATAAGAATTTTTACAAGTTTTAGCTTTTAAGAGTGCAACGTTGCATGCTCGTCCTGTTTCACCTTTACTTTTTTGCAAAGAGATTTTAGGCTCGCACACAATTATATATGCTCTTTCACCCTTCTCCTATTTTTTTTACGAGTCTAAATGGAACAGACATGTCTGTTTGTCACTCTATCTATAATATTAGAAAGCGATGTGATGTGGAAATAACTTACCCTCCCCTTACCCATGGTCTAAAATGTGGCACATTTGAGTCCATATTGAGACACATTTATGGAAGAGAGTGAATAGAAAAAAGTATTATAAAATCAGATTTTCGTATTTAGAAGAGTGCACAAAGACTCATTTATATAGGAGAAAAAATTAGTCAAGAAAGAAAATAATCCTTGGGTCACAGTCGTTTTATAATCAATTATCCTACGGTACTAATCGATTGGACCTAACAAATTTGAAAACAAACTAATCAGATTTGGAGCCTAATAGATTAAGAGTGTTCCTAATCAGTAAAGTGGTGGGTTCATCTCTTGCTCAATTAAATATAAGTTTTAATCGATTAGAGAGCGAGATATTGATTTCCTAATTGGTTAGGAGGCTTCTCAATCAATTAGTTAGTGGTCAAATCTGATATTAAAAAAGATTTTGAAATAGATGAATTTTTATAAAATCATTTTGAATACGTGTGAGCGTATTGCATTAGTACTTTAAGACACATAAGCTTTTAAAATACTTCGATTACTTTTAATGTTGATCTTTATATTTGACTATTTTTACTCTTCACCGCGTTCTTCTTAATTTCACTTTTTAATAACTTCCATCTTTTATACTTAGATGATGCTCATGATTATTTTAGTTTTGTTCTTTTGTCATCATCAAAACTCTATACATTATCTTCATAACATGTACAACACATAAAATCACATGTGGAACTTCTTCTTCAAGTAGATACAATACCCTTTCTCTTTCAATAATTCTATACACAAGATTTAGGGGGGAGTTGCATTGCATTTTAATGAATAATTTATTTGACTAACGAAATAAGACTACATAGGAGCTGGAGTGGATATAAGACAAAGGTTAAAGTTAAGGTGGAAACTAGGGTAGGGCACCGTGCATGTCATCAACATGACCATAACTAAAACACCAGATTAAGGTACCACGAGTCCACAACTGTCACCAACATGATCATGTCCACTGCGACTACCTCCATTATTAAGACCACCTCGACCTCTAGATTATATGGCTAAAGTATGTAGTAGTAGGATTCCACAAAGGAAGACTGTAAAATCCAAGAGAAAACATCAGTAAAGTTATCAATCAATTTACTTGACAAAATATGAGATCAAACCACCTTATACTCTGAATCAAGACTGAGCCATGAATTTCTTTTGTTGAGTTAAGATAAATTCGACAAATTTGCATGTTAGAAGAGAAGTGAACTCCTATATATATATTGCTTAAACTCTAGAAAAATGATTCAGAAACTTACGCTTGTCCTACGTGGAGCCGAAAAATCTCTAGTAAAAGAGCATAAATGTGATTTAGGTTTATAGATTTACCATAAATAAATATCAATAAATTGCACAACTCTTTCATAATCTTGCAGTGAAAAATAACGGATTCGATTCTTCTATCAACAAAACTCACAAGTAAGTAGAAGTGTTCGCGAGCCGATATCTTAAAAGACTAAAATTATATGAATTAATTTAGATTGGATTTATAAATTTTTGCAATAAAGCTCAAATCAAACCAAACCGAGAAACAACAGATTGGTTTGAATTGATCAGATAGATAAAAAATATAAAAATGTTTGAAAACAATAACTTATTTAAGAAAATTAATTTTTCATAATAATATAAAAAATATAATATTAATAGTGTTTAATCATAAATATTAGACTAACAATTTTTCTTTAATACATTCTAAAATATCTAACAAGAAAAATATATAATATCATGACTTTTGAATCTATAATTAGTCACTTGAATTAGTATGATAATGAATATATTTTATAGCTCTACACTCACTTACCACAATACACTAATAATTTTCTAATAACAATTTATAATAGAATAACTTGTCAACAAATTAAAATAGAATAATTTTTTCTTCTTGAACTCGAATTCTTGAACTCGAATGATTGATAATAATTTTCATGATAAATAATTATGATTTATCGGATTGAATTTGCGGATAGAAAATTCAAAATTCAAAACAATTATCATTGAATTTTATTAGTTTGACACGGTTCTTGTCCGAACTGAAAAAATATACAACTCAAATACTATGATTTGATTCGGATTCCAGTTTAATTCGAATTTATCCGAATCAATGAACAACCCCTACAAGTATAGCCAACAATCTGTTTATTCTTTATATTCCATTACATTCTCACCATTATCATTGAACACCACCAAAACCGAAAAAATCACCTGCTGCCATTACTCTTCTGTCATCCCTCCAGCCCTTTAACCAATGGCTGAGAATTAATTAAAAATAAAAAATTTTGGTTTTGAAAAGAGGTAAAAAACATGAGAGAAATGGAAATGATAAGAGAGATAGACACAAAATGAGGGCATGAGAGAAGGCTGTAGAGAAATGGAGCAGATGATCCAAATCCAAAAAATATAGATGAATGGTAAGATGAGAGCAGAAGGGCAGCAGCACCAAAGGGGCTGGACAGGATCCAGATCCCCACCAAAACGCTACAAACACGCAATTTTGCCTCTCTTTTAGTCATATTTTCATGAGTTACGATTCAGTACTCTGAACAAAAAAATATTTAATAAAATATTAATCCATAAATGAGTACACCGATTCTTCCAAGTGCACATCTCTGCAAACTCTTTTGTGCAGACATGGAAGTGCCAATATTGTTGCTCGATTTTTTTCTTGAGGTTGCACTGCTGTGGAATGATTTGCACGTACCTGTACCTCAGTTACTCATGAGGCAAGCTTCATGAAATAGTGACTACAATTGGTAGAGAAACAATATTATTGTGTGAAAACTTCTTTGTTCCAATTTGGTGTCTATTTATTACACTGCATCTCATATCATATTGATATTAATGTACTGTTTGTTTCTTCATACACCGCTAATAAGGTAATGTTATATTAAATTAAAAGGGGCCAAAAAAATTCTCTGACAGGATATCTGATTTCTACCGGAAAAAAGGGTCAAAACAAGTTTCTATTTCCCTGTACAAAAACAGAGTTAATCGAGGCACTAGTTTAACAATGATGTTGGAACTTCAATCCTTCACCAGTTTGCCTATCAAAAATGAAATATTATTCCTAGAACCATTGTGACACAAAATACATTATTGTAACCAGTGAACTAGAACGATCTCTGCATATATGCTACAATCTAAGCTACATGGTAACAGCATATAGTCATGTCGTCCCTGTTATGAATCCTGCAAAGTTGGATGAAATCAAGCAACAACTGATATAAAATGCTGCTGAAACCGTCAAATTACATGAAAACAGATATGAATTGGTTCAAGCTTACCTGCTGAAACCGTCAAATTACATGAAAACAGATATGAATTGGTTCAAGCTTACCTCAACTATTAAATCTAGTGTCAATTAGTAACTCCTTCATTGATCGATATTGAAAATGCTTTGGACCATTTCGCCTTTTCAGATGGTGGTACCATAGACTCGTCTAGGAAAGGATTCCAGAAGCCACTTGGACCAGACAAAACCCATCTTACTTTTGTTGGTGGTCTTGTTGAGTTATGGATTGAACCTCTTCCGTCTTTCCCCAATTTGATTTTCTTCTTAGAATGAGTTTTTTCGGAAAGCTTGAAAAGAAATTCAATTAGCTATACTCAATCTAAGGTCAGATCTTGTAATAAAGAACATAGTTTTGAAACTCACTGATTCAATAGGTTCTTGAGTCGTAGGAGCACTTCGCTGTCCAGAGCATTTGAAAACTATCTGCAAATAAAGACTATGCTCTTAAATTGTAAAACATTTTTACATAATCATCCAATCAGATACTGCCTCATGGATATTTGATGAGATATTTTATGAATTAACATATCGAAGTGACATTATTATTAAATCTGATCGGATAGGATAGCCGTGTGAAAAAGTTACAATGCAAGTACATATTCTTTAAACTTCTTTATTAATGGTTAAACGGAGTAATTTGATCGTTTGGTTTAGATACCTTGGGTGTAGGTCTACATGCATTTTCTCCAGTTAACCGTGCTCCCTCGAAATCTCTTACGGTTAAATCTCCTCCCTCGAAATCTCTCGCAGGATGAAACTTTTGTTTGCGCCTAGACTTGTTACACGTCTGCAGTAAATATAGCGCACATATCAAGTTATCAAAAGAACTTCAAGTCACAAGCAAATGAGAGTAAATGTTGCAGCTTTGATTGATCAAGAGCAGTAAATGTTCACTTAAAATTGCCAAAGGAAAGAATGATTCATCCAATGATCTGTTTGAGTATCGTATCACGACGTAAAAATGAAAGTGAACTCACAGTGTTTTTGTTTTCTGATATCATTCTCTCAGTAGGAGGAAGATAATCTTTTGGTTCTCCATTTAGATATCGCTGAACAGATACCAAAGAACGGAACTTCTGCCTTGTGTTTGGTTCTATGTAATACTGAAAAAATCGAAGATTTATAAATAATAACAATACAATAATGAGCTAAAATAATAATAACAGAGTGTTAATTTTCTTCCAAAATTGGAATTTTCTTGTTGATATTTTCATTACAAACCCTAGGTTGAATTCAAAATGAATCAATAGAAGGTTAGGTTACCTTATCAACCCTTTCAGCATGGTCGGGGTTAGGGCTACGGCGGCGGTGTTGTTCAACCAACCAACCGTCGGGGAGACTGAACGGTGGTGATCGGACCATAATCTGCAATTGTTTTTCCCTTGAATTTGTCTTCGGCGATGACATGCTGATTGATGAGGTTTGAGTTGTTGTTGTTATTGTTGTCACAGTCGCATGTATAGTTTCTAGTTTTGTGAAAACGGTGATGTGGATCACAAAAACATATGTGGCGTTGTATTAATGATGGTGAGATGGCAAATAGAGTCATCTGGCGTTTCTATCGGAAGTGATTTTGCGTGAGTAGTAGAGATTTTGGTGGTGTTGACAATTGGAGTTAGGAGGAACTTTGAAAAGCAACAAAACTTTGAACAAAATAGGAGTAAAATAAACTTTTTTGTTAGATAGATGCCGGAAACTCGCCAAAACAATCTTTTGCTTCACAAATTACATTATAATGGATTGAGAAACAAGTGTCACTTTTAAGTCTTACATTAATTAAAAAGTGGAGATTAAACCTTTTTAAGTTACAAGATATGTGAACTTATGTATCTACTATTATCTTAAATTTTGAATAAATATATGTTGTCATTCTCATTTATTTGAGTGAGTCTTTAGCTTTTAGGTGATTGTTTCACTCAATATATAATTCTCTGTATGATGATCCATTATGATCAACAAATCATCCCACTTGTATAGGAGTGAAATTTGATACTGACTTTATTTAAAGGCAATATTGGATAGACCATATCTCTCTTGATCCGACCACCTTAAGACATAATACTCTGGACCTAAACATATCAACTAGCTACTCAATCGTACTTCTAGAATCTTCTCTTACCACTAGACTATTGTTGTATCTCAAAATTTTCCCTCTCATTTCTCAAATAATCTCTCACAAGATTTTCTTGGATTCAAGACTACACAGGGTTGATCAGCTCAAGACACCTCCTCAAGAACTGATTATTGAAAATTAGGGTTTGAGATTGCACAAGGACAATTGGACTTTTAATGCCTAATATGACTTTCATGGATCATTTTGGACCCTCAATATTGCTTATGTCAAGTTTCAAGTCTTGGATCACATTTTTACTCAGTCAATTGATCAATTGACCTAAAACTCAATTGTATTAGGGAAAAAGTCAATTGTGGTCAATTTACAGTCAAACTTCATAATGTTTGGTCCATACCAACATTATGAACTCATATATGTCATTTGATCAAATTTGGACCACAATTCCATAAGAAATTTGATCAGATCTTCAAAAGGGCAAAATGGTCAAAATTAGGTTTTTGAATGAGGAAATGCAATTTCTGATTTTCGACCTAGCAAATGATTAATTAGTTTGAGACATGATCTCAAGGGTTCAAATGCATCATTCTGACCTAATGGCATGGCTCAAAACATTACTCAAGATCAATTGATTGACAGATGAATTTTTAGTCAACTGATCAAAAGTCAACTATACACTGAAAAGTCAAACTTTGACTTTTTGGTCAAAATCAAGTGTCAAAGATCACAATTCATCAAAACATGTCAAAATATGAAACTTGTTCATCAAGAAATCAAAAAGTCAAGATTTCATTTTGAAAAGTCAAAATTTCTAAACTTAGAAATTTTTCTAAGTCTTGAAAATTTCATATTTTTCCATAATTTTGAGCCAATTTTCTACCATGATGCAAGATGATTCAAAGGAAACTTTCAACATGAAAGTTGTAGATCTAAATGAGATATAAAACATTGTAGAACACAACTTCTCCTAGAAATGCATAGATTTCAAGTTATGATTTTGTGAATACATGTTTATGAAACTTGGAAACTTAGTGAAATTTTGCCCTAGTTTAGGCAGGATTTTGACCTAACTTCATGGTAATTTTTCACATAGTTACAAGAGGAATTTTAAAAAATGTCCAACATAGATATTATAGAGGATGCTACAAGCTTTCCAAAATGTCTAAGAACTCATTGAGATCATGTTTGAGCAAAGAGAATCGAAGACAAGAAGTTGGACATTTATTCTTGAATTATAGGCCATTTCCATGATGAACAAGAATTCAAATCCACACCCATGCTGCATAAATCTTACTTTGCAGACTTCTAACCTCTAAATCTATCCACAATCAGAAGATTATATAACTATTTGAGCTATGATCCAAGTGCTAGAGTCATTGTCCAAGTGATTATTCCATTAATGGAACAAAGTTCACACTTCCATTTTGGAAAAGTGACTTTAATCACAAAGTCAATGCATAAAGCTTCTAACTTGTTCCATCTAAACACAAGAAATGTCAAAGGAAAAAGCAACATGTTTAGAGCCTCCCATAAATTCAGGCTATGCTTGTACTACAACACATTGAAACTTATTTTTCCACTTTTCTTCAAAATCAAGTAACATAGCCATAACTCTATATCTTGTACTTCTGACCACCTCAAGCCCTCTAAACCTTTTTCATATAACTATACTAGTTATTTGCAAGCTAACACACGATTGGAAACACTCCAAAACTCCTTGAAAACCCAGATTGCACAAAAACTCCATTGTTGTGCAGAATATGACCAGAAACTCCCATCTCTCAAACCACTCGTGCGTTTCCTCTCCAAATCATCTAAAAAGCTTCCATACTTCAAATACAACTCATCCCAATCCATGTTCCTAAACTGTAACACCATTTTCACCATTGTCCAATTTCAAAAACAGAGCATTGCAGATGGACTTCTCCAGGCCATTTCAGTCACTCTCAACTCAAGCTAAGCATTGCATTAGCTTCCTAGAGACTCAAGGAAGCTAACCTGATCATTACAACACCTTGAATCAAGCCCAAACTTATTTCACGATTTCCAGTTTTGAGGTATTTTTCTTGAACTTCTATCTCATTATTTAGGCATTATTAGACTTGCATTTGTGAAGATAAAATATAGATATCATTGACCTGAAACTATACATGTCCATAGATTTCATTTATGTTGCTTGAGTAGGGAGAATTTTGAGTTTGAACCTCTGAAAATATTTAGGTCAGAATTTGGTACTGTTAGAAATTCATGCTCATCTTTGAGAATTAGCTTAAGTTATTTACATATTCAGAATCATGAGGAAATTTCTAACAAGTTTGATGTTGGAAGTTTTGTGAATGGGTGAGAAATGAATAAGTTACAAATCCTTTGGCTGGAGGTTGAAGATGAAGTACATTCAGGGCAAGATTTATGTTACATATTTATTGTTTTGTTTAAATTAACGGATGTGTCACTACCCCAGTGGTTAAAGCGCGCACCTGTTACCTTAGGGACCTGGGTTCGAGCCCCAATGGTACCCTTTTGCCTTTTTTCATATTTTTCCTTCCATTTTTTGTTTGATACAGGCGTTGGGCTCCCTGTTGTTGGGCCTGGCATTTTGCTTGTTTCACACTCTTTCTTTCATTTTCATACCCCTGGCCCATTGTTTATTTATTATTTCATTTTTATCATTTTTTTTTCTTCATATTTTTCTTTTTACTTTTATTATTATTATTTTATTAATAAAAATCCAAAAAATATTATTATTATTATTATTATTATTATTATGCTTATTATTCTATTTATAAATAAAACAAAAATACAAAAAAACATTTCCTTTAAAAAACAAATTAATTTCTTTTCTTAATTAATTAATATTTAGATAATTAGGTTTAATTATTATATTATCCTCTTGTAAATTAAAATTAATTTAGAACTTAGGTTTATTTTAATTAACTAATTTCCATATTATTTTCCTTAACTTAAAACCCTTTTTATAAAAAACCCTAAAAACATTTTTAACTTAATTTCCTTCTTAATTAATTTAGGTTTAAATTTTGTTTATTTTTCATTAATAATTTTCTTAATTAATTAGGTTAAAACCTCTTTCATAAAAAAAATCAAACAAAAAAAATTTCTTTTTCCACTTTGCATTTTTAAATTATTTATTCAATTTTTGTACATTTATTCAATGTGGTTGTAATAGTTAATTAGATTTAATTTTCTTACAAATTCCCCATTTGTAAATTTGTATACCCCCTCCCCCAATGATGTAATAGCTTAGTATTTTTATTTTCCGCAATTTATCGCTTTATATAAATGCTAGTAAATTAGGGTTTTGTATAGAAAGATTAAAATCAACAAGTTAGCAAACCCTAATCCAAGATAAATAAATCATGTAAATGAACACACTTGCACACTTAGGGTAAATCCACTTTGTTTCCTTAAAAAAATGACCATGTTATGCATGTGGGATATCTTAGCAAAAAGCAATAAAAAATACAAGATCATAGTCCCTCGATGGCGCTATCAATGTTGCCTTTTCAAAATGATCTTAGTCCCTCAAAGAGAATTGCTAAGATATCTCACAACATTGCTATCATGGCTATACGATGACACATGCCCGTCCCTTTACATCCAAAGATAGGGCTTCTTACCAAATCAACGGTAAGATAGCAATATCAAAGGAAAGGAAGAAATGAACTAAGACTTTTGAGTAGGTAGATTGTTCCTAGTTGCTTGCTCAATTTCAAATCAAACACTCTTGCTTATTTTCAAAACAAACACCAACACTTTCAAAAACACTTTCAAAACATTTTCCAAACATGAAGCATTTTTAAAAGATAAACACTTTGTATACGTTCTTACGAACGAGAACTATTACAAAGTTTTCCTAAACGAAGGCACATTTTCAAAATACTTTCAAAAACCACAAAGCATATTTTTCAAACAAAAGCAGGTGATATAGCAAGCAACTAAGAGCCCGCAGAAAAATACGGATGGAAAGGGTGCTAACACCTTCCCTTTCCATAATCTACCCCATTACTCAGAAAACTCTCGAAAAGGTCTTTTTTTGTTCTTTTCACCCTTTCCTTTGTTGGATAAAAGAAAATACGGTGGCGACTCTTGCTAACCGCGACATTTGTGATAAAACACAAAACACCCAAGTCATTTCTCCCACCGTACCACAGAACTGACGACTCTGCTGGGGAGAAACTTAAAAGTGGGGTTACCTTAGGGATATATCACCTTTATTTACTTTCATTATTTGATTTGTTTGCTTTATATTTTGGTTCCTTGTTTGGGCTTGTTCTAATCCTCTAACCGGATTTGGGGATACCTTATAGGTAAGTAGCAA